TGTCACTTGTGAACTGTGTTCCCATATTACATAAATGCTGTATTTTTTAAGTTATAGTAATAAAAAAACTTCAGTGTGGTCTTTCTAGTTCACAATATGCCAGCATTTCAGTCAGATGATGCCTTTCTGTGGGGAAAATAACCAGATGAGGCTAAAGGATGCACGGAAAAACTGAGGATGTGAACTGTGCTGAAGTCCTAGATGAGATGTTTCTATCTGTAACTCAAAGGAAGGAGGGGAGGTGGTACAAAGAGCATGGATTTATTTGGAGATTTTTTTGAGAGTCACCTAAGGGAGATAAGTAATTTGATAAGAGCTAGCTATCTCCTCTGCCAACAAACCTTTGAGGCTGATGTTGAATATTTCCAAGATCAATGATGGAAATTTTGGGCCTGATCATCCTGGAAAGTTTGTGTGTAATGAGAAAGGAATGAATTATTTTCTGGCTACTAGGCTCTCTGACATTGCAGTATCCAAAGGGCAACAGGTTCATACAGCTGCTGCATGTCCTGACTAATGGCTCACCAGAGGAAACCTGAAAATTTATATTAGATAGTTGATGAAGGGTCACCTTTTGGATCCTCTGCACCAGCTATTACCAGCAAACCTTATTATTCTAACAAGTAAAGAAGGAAGGTTTAGCCTTTTTTTTGGTCTTTGATTTCATACCTCACAAAGCTTTCACCGTACTGCATGTCCTGACTAATGGCTCACCAGAGGAAACCTGAAAAGCTTTCACCATAAAGACATTGCAGAGCTGACAGTTTCTTTCTAGATCAATATATAGAAGGAAGGTTTAGCCTTTTTTTTGGTCTTTGATTTCATACCTCACAAAGCTTTCACCGTAAAGACATTGCAGAACTGACAGTTTCTTTCTAGATCAATATACGTAGGTATATTTCATTTAATCTAGAAAGGTAGATGAGTTCAAAGATAGTTTTAGGATCTGGTGAGAAATGAAGTACTGCAAAAGATGGTCTAGTCAAAAAGTGAGTGCAAAGACACAGAAGTCAGATTTATCAATAAATAAATCAGACTTGAAGGCGATGCTGAACTCTGCAATAATTTTAAGAGTCTGGAATAGCTCTGGACCACCTTACTTTGTTTATTAATTTAAGCAGAATTGCAGCACTCTGGTGAATACTCTGTATTTCAGGTGAAATGCAGATGTTTCCTGAACCTAGGCATCCTATTGTGGCAAGGGAAACGTAAGTATTAATAACTAATTTATCTAAATTTTTTATTTTCACTGACCATATCTTGGAAGAATCCCTTCAAGTTTCTTTCTTAGATGGGAATTCAACAAACAGATGGAACAAATTTCACAATAAGCACAACAACCACGTCAGGTGGTGCAGCACATTTTACCTGACAAGTCAAAACTGTAAGACATGCTAAGTGGCCGCATTGCTGTAAAAAAAGAAACAAACACAACAAAAAAAGAAAATGATTCAGCTCTTAGAAAAGCAGAGGGATTACGAAAACAAAATATTAACTCCACTTGAGACATTTTGGACTCTCTTGCTTAAATCCAAAATGTGTCAGACATACTATTGGTTTATACTGTAGTAAAGCTCAAAGTCTGAAAACTACAGTAGCATAAATGGGACTTGCAAACAGAGCAATTATATTACTAGTAAATTAAGATTTTTGGAATTCAATAAATCAAATATCAAAACAAGAGACAAATATCTAAAAACTCGAATACTTTAAAGTAAAATCACCACAAAAGAGAAACAGGAAAAAGGGAAAGAGAGAGAGAGAGGAGAGAAAGAGCTGGAAAAAAAATATGAAAGCACAAAGCCACATTTCACACAAGTTTCAGTGACCTGAAATAAAGATATTTCTAATTTTTTTAAGCATAATCTCCAATGATTATAATTAAACTAATAAAGAGAGACACCCAAGCTAAGCTTGCACAGTAGAGCAATCCTCCTTGAAGAGGATGGAAAATAAGCCCAAACAAAATCTGATTTGTGCTGATTCCTGTTCTTTTTAAAAACCTTAGGTGCACTTAGCCTTTAAAATACATCCATAATATTATTCTCTTCTTCCTGGGCCTCTGATGATTTTGTTGTTAGATAAGAAAGTGGTCAGATGCTCTTAATTTCTGGAAAGACCTATCCATCTTTCCAATTAAACAGTGTATTCAGGGAGCAGACCCTCAAAACATTCTTCAACTGAAAACAAAATTTCAGTGCACTAATCCAGATAAACAGGCCAAGCCCAGTGACAAGAACGTGCAAAAATGCATCAAAATTGAAATCAGCTTATATGTCTTCCTTGACAGGTAATCAATCTGCAAGCTGGTAGAAAGAGCCTGTCAGACACACATAACACTGCCCTAAAAGATATTTATAAAAAGGTTGTACTGGGACAAGTTTTGCCCATGAGAATAATTTAAAGTGGTGCATGCAGTAGGTGGCTGACTCAGAGCTAAATCTGGGAGTCAGGGAACTTTTTCTGTATTCATTAACTAGAAATTATCCATAGGCAATAGCTACAGTAACAGCATCAAAATTTCTGTCCATACTTAGCATAAAGGCATATACTTCTTAAAGCAGAAGGGTGTTTATCACCTGATGCTGAGACATTGATAAAACCTGCACATGAAACAAAGTTTTCTCCAAGCTCCATTAGCTCCACTTGCTTGAGTCACAAGCCCATGGTTTTAATTAAAAGCACATGTACCTCAAGGCTGTGCTGGTCTCGATGGCTTACGCTGATGATTTTATGGGGTCATTTGAAAGCTCACTCCAACTCCTCTGCTCAAGCCTCTCCCTTTGTGAGCACAGTTCAACCCCATTTCCAAAGAAGGTTTGGACTGAAACTGGCCAGGGTAGAGAAGATCTGACCTGTCCCATGCGTGGTGTAGAGAGGGGGACAAAGCCTGTGGCCGCTGGGGAGCACATGCCATAGGTACAGCCTTAACACAGAGGAGGAACGGCAAGCGTACAGCCCCACTCACCCCAACAGCCAAGTGCAGCTGTGTTCTTGACTGTATAAACTGAGCAAAAAGGAGTTTGGAACATGTGAAACATGTCTGGGACATGTGAAACACACCTTATGCTCCTGGATACGTCACTGTATTGTAATGTGCTATTTTTTTTTCTCCTTTTCAATAGCAGCAAATAGTTCTGTCCAGATGGTGCAAGTGTCCCACATGGTGTTTCTACTTAGATGTATAATCCTTAAACCTCATTACCTTACATGTTGTTACACTAAATTACATTCAGTGGTCATTTAAACTGTATGGCAGATCTATTTGTGCCATACCGAATGCCACTAATGTTGCTCTGTTCTCAAACTGCACAAGCACATTCTTTTTTAAAAGGAACTTTAGGTGTAACAATCACTCCAATTGTGAGAAAGAACAAAACCTCATATGTCGACATAAGGAAAATTATCTTAAAGGCCTTTGGTGTTTTTAGTTCTTCTTGCCAGCAGATAATATATACTTGGAAAAAAGCTTTCATGCATCCACTTTTACACCTCCATTAATGTGGCATTTAATCCAGTCAATTCACTGGACTTAAGAGGAATTACCCCAGTTCCAAAACACAAACATTTAATGCTCTAACAAAAAGGGAAGAATAAGTGGAAGACAGGTATCCCTCATTGGAGGCAATGCCTTGAAATCAATCCAGAAGTCCTAAGCAATAGTGGTTCAAAATTTAACATCAGTTTTAGAAACTGTTTACTAACTGGGTTTGATGCCATTTATATCAGTTAGAAATTGTAAAGATTTATTAGATCAGGTTTGCTGCCCCTGAGACAACATGGTAGTTCCCAGAAAGACAACCTACAAAACACTAAAACTGAATGTTTGAAAGAAAAGTAAGGAGTCATTTCACATGTCTCTACTTAGATTCCTACAGGCTTCCTACATTGGGAAAAAAGTCTAGGCCTGTGAGAAATGTTAATTGACACAGAAAACATAAACTGAACCCAAACCAGAAACTTGGAAGGCCCAAAAAAAAAAAGTCTGAAGCATTGTTCTTTTACAAACGCACGCAAACATTCCCCAAACTCCACCAAGCACTTCAAAAACAATGCAACAAAGCAAGACTGATGAAATTGTTTTGCTCCAGAAACAACGGGCTGTCACAATCCACTCGAATGTGGACCAGTGCCTTTGGGCACATGTGGCAAGTACAAATATCTTTCAAAAAGCAGTGACAGAGAGTACGCATGTGGATTTCTGTACATACATACAGTTTTCAGCCACAAAATTCCACATTTGCTCTTTAAAAATTCAGCTACTTCAGTTTTTCTGATACAGGTAAATACAGTACATTTCAAGCAATCTAAGTCACTATGTAAGCCTGTATTTGTCATGCTTTTGCATCAGAACCACTGAACTAATGCAAACGGGTGATTGCTGCATCACATAGTATTTGTATCATTTCGTAGTGGTTTGCTGAAAATACACTGCAGGAATGAAATGCTTTGCAGTGCAAGTTGGAATTATTTTTCCCGTGAAAAGACCTACAAACATGCTGTCCATAACTTGGAAAAGGAAGCAAAGATTTAGATTAAAAATAAATGCAACAGATTCTGTAAACAAAATAAAAACCGATTTTAAATTAAAATAAAGAAGTTGATGATGCTAACACAGGAAACAAAAAGAATTATTAAAAATCAGCATGTAAAGAATACTTGCAGATAGTCAAGGTATACTGCACTAGAGACAAGCAATATCTGTTCCACTCTCAGCAATCTAACATGAACTGTCATGTGCAACAAGCAATACAACACCTTTCCATTTATCTAATACACTAAAAATTTGAATGGAATCAAGCTGAACCACTCTGTTTCATATTTTAAAATATAACTAAGCACAAAGATTGCACAGCCCTAGAAAAGCCTGTAGGCTATTTCATTTTCTGAAGGAGTAATTTTATCTTTGGTGACATCTGCACAGACGTGGCTAAAATTGCTGCTTCCTATGTGGAAAGTTTTCTGTGGATGCTGCAGGTAAAAACTGGCCACGTGCTTACCCAGCCTGCTCCGCCTTATCTCATCAGGGGAGACTGGACGGAGCTTCCTCTCTGCCTTGATCTCCTCCAGGATCCTCTCATGGAGGCTGCGGGGCCGTGGCGGGGTTGGTTTCAGTTTCCTTGCCGAGGCCTTGGGATACAGGGATAATCATATTTACATTAAAAAGTGCATCCTTGAAAGTAGATTTCACACTTTTTTTGAAAAAATGTGGAATGCTGTGATATGATTTTACATACACTCAATACCAAACCTCAACATAAACTGAAGGAGGGTTTTATGCATCATGGTTCCCTAGAGATAAAGGGCTGCTGGCAATAACAGCAGTTAATTGGTACATGCAACATATTACACACTGTTCATTTAAGGGATCCTGCTCTGTGTACAAAAGACAATTATTTTTGGAAACCCTGGCAGAAAATATTATGTTTATGTATTTGCTGGAAGCAAACATGCTCTGAAAAGCCACTATTTTGTAAGGAATGAAGGCCACTGGATTACATACAGGATTTAATGGAGGTCGCGATCGGATGAAATCCAGGATTATTTCATGGGCACTCTTTTTTAATCGAGGTGGGATGTCACCGTTGACCTGGAAAGAGAAAGTGAGATAGATATTGCTGTGTTTCACATTTATATTCAAGCAGATGAGATCAACTGAAAACTCACAACAGCCCTGACAGAGCTGCAGTGTTCTGACACCTGCACCAGACACAAAACCCCACCAGTCGTGAGCAGAGCAACAACCCATATGCAGAGCACAGGCAAGCAGAGAAGGTACTTAGCAGCTTTTCAGTTTTGCTGATGGCTGCAAAATAACTCCAACTGCAGCAGCTTTAAGCAGCAATATTTAGGATTTTGAAGTAATGAAATCAAACGTCAAGGCTGCAGTTGTGTCTATGGAAGAAGCAGGCTGCCTCACTGTAAATCACATATTTCTGTAGCAGAGGGGCTGGGCTGGGTGAAGATTGTTTGCTTTTTTTGTTCGGTTTTCTCCAGAGACACTTAGACATTTAGATGTAAGACCATATACAAGACATCACAGGGAATAATCATCAATTCACTATATATACAAGATTTAAAGAAGGCAATGGAAGTTTTCATATCATATGAAGAATGTATAAATTGTAAGCTGTGAATAAGTGTATGGATTTCCTTAAAAAAACCAAACACCTGTCAGGTTCAGTCTTCACAGAGCACAGTGCCCAAGCATGCTGTCAGAGACAAGAGATCATCCTATGTCATATATATCCTTCTGCTGCCTCCTCTTACTGCACAGTAGCTGGCTATCAGCCCTGTCCTCCAATTTGACAGAAATTTCCATGACACTGTATTGCTTAGACCAAGTATTCCATATTTCAGATTCATTTTTTAAGGGTCAGTTGCCTCTTTTTATTTTTGTGGGACTGTATTCACACAAGCTCTGTAGCCAGCAATCCCATGTAAAGACACATGTCTGGTTTGCCAAATAACAAGCCTTTCTGCCAACCAGAAGGACTGCTGCCATCACAAAAAGGGGTTTAAATGTCCATAAGGTCACCTGAATAGGATCCCTAATTGAACTTCACCAATGCCATGCAGCCTCTATACAAGCTCTGCTCACCTCAGGCATGCCCTGTGTCCAGGCTGAGGCTGAGTGACAGCCTCCTCGAGAAGATTCATCCCTTTCCCTCTAAGAAATCAGATTCAGAGTCCCTCCTGGGGAGCATTTAATTGCTTTCCTGAGGACTCTTTCTGGAGATATCTTACCCCAGACACAGTCCAAACTCTATTTATTCCACCCTCCTTAGTTTCCTTAGAGTGAATTTCATGTTGCTCGGCAAAGAATTCCAAGCTGCTAAACTCTGCAACATGCATCATCTTCTTAAAAATAGTGCAGAAAAATTAAAATGGAAAAGGTTTATACTAAACTGTGATTTGACATTTCCTGATGAGGAGAATACTATTTTAAGGGGTGTGATTGATTTCTTCTGTTCAAAGACTGAGCAGTTTTTGAGACTGAGCATGCCCTGGAAGATGGTTAATAAAATGAGAAGTCTCTCTTCCCTGAGCTACTGTTCATCAGATGTCAAAGTTGATAGCTGAAGTTGAGAATTATTACCATCAGAACAGCCGTTTTGTAAACTGATAATCTCTGTTGGAGCCTTGGGGAACAACCTTCTGTGTGACAATAGTCAATAAATAATACATGGCTCTGAGCCTTTCACCTCAGGGCACTCTAGGTCCTGACTTAATGCCACCAGGGTATAATTAGTATCAGTATTACCATCTGATCGGAAAAAGAGAAATGTAGGATTTGCTTAAGTGATTCCACAGGATACATGGGGAGCTGGTAGCCAAGCAGGTGGATGTTTTGCAGCCAACAAGTCAAGAAGCCAAGAGCAGGAGCATCAGGGGCAGAACCCACCTTTTCGTACCTGGTGCCCAAACAAGATACCAACATTAAAGATACTGCAGGGAAACTTTTATCCTCGCTGTTTAGACTAGATTCATTTATTTACTCAAACTAACTCTCTCTGTAGTGAGCAACTTCAAATGCATCCTTTACTTTTACTTTATTAAAATTCATGGCTCTTGATTAAAGTCTCAATCAAAGACATGGCACAGATGCAATCATGATACCCAGGCTGCAGAGGGAAAAAAACACCAAGGAACAAGTTTATCTTTTTTTTTTTTTTTTTTTCCCTCCACATACCAGGCTGGGCCCGACAACAAACCAGTATTTGAGTAAATACCTCAAAACACAGTAAAACTAGCCTAAGTCTTCATGTGTGTAAAATAGCTTTTGTACAGCAGTATACATTAAAACAGTGTGAAGAAAGCTTAACCAATTATTATAAAAATCAAACATAAATGTAGAGATCTAAACAGCTAATGCACAGAAAAATTAGCATGTCATCATCTACCAACAACCTGCTACGATTACATTTTAATATATAAATATGGATTTGCAATTAAAAAAATAATGGCAAATGGTACTTAGTTACCTTTGGCTGAAGCCCAAAGCTTTAAAAATGGTGATCCCAAACAATAAGTACATTGCTGATAACTTTCACAAAAAAATAACATCACCTATCATTGACACTCAATTATCTTAGCCATTTATCTGTTCAGCTATAAAAGGTGTCAGCAATAAGTAGGAGAGTGCTATCTTTAAATAACAGTCAACAGGATACTCATATTGTTTTGTACTATCTAGAAATTTTCATTTTAAAGGAAATTGCATGGGCACTGAAACAGACAAAGGGGACACACTACATCATATCCAGAACAGCTCATGATAAAGTTCAGTGGTGAATTAAATTATTTTAAGTAGATATCTATTTACCATCTTGCATTATGCAGACAGTGTAGTGTCTTAGTTAACACAGTTGTTATACATTATTTTGACACCCCACAGCAAGCTCAAGCAGCAATGTCCAAGAATGAAGTGCTCTGGTATTTCCCATCATGAGGCACTGTACTCACACTGCTGTTCCTGCACATCTACTGCAGAAACAAGTTTATGGTACCACATGGTAACCACAGAGTCCCTCCCCTGAATACCCCTAAAGCATGACTAGGAACTGCAAAGCTCCCTGCCCTACCCAGGATGACTCCTACACTTCTGTAGAAAGACATGATGAAGGTGTAAAATGAAAAGCACAGTTCCCCTGCTGAAAGCAACTCACTACAACCACGTCAGACTTTTGTGTAAAGGAACAACAAACTCTACAATGTCCAGCTGGATAAAGTGGTCAAAGTCCTTAGCACAGCAAAGCTCACATTCTCTATGTCCTGCTTGAAGCATATGAACTCATGCTTATGAAAATACTGTCTGTGCACAGCTGTTACTGCAATTAACCTAAGTACTCTAAGATGACAAATACTGCAAGGAGTAAATTAAAAAAAAAAAAACCAACAACCAAAACAAAACAAAAAAAACCCCATGCCATAGGATTCTCAGCTTGGGCATTCAAATTACTGGATATTCTTGATGATGCCTTCAACCTGAATGTCTAAATTTCCCTTCTGCAACATGGCCAATACCACTGCATGACAGGTACTTGTGAAGAGCTCAGATATGATGACAAGAGTGCTGTTACCTACAAAGAGTGTAACTGTTATGTAACGTGATGCTGAGTTTGGATAGGGCATAAAAGTACCTGACAGTCATGTATTGAGCAGGTAACACAAGAGACATCAGTTACTGTTCAACAAGCACTGCTCAAGAAATACAGTGAATGGTGCATACCTTGAAGGGAGGTGGAGATGGGCAGAAAGAAGAGCTAATTGTGAAGAATTCTGAAATTAAAAACTGTAGCTCAACACATACAAATAATACAGAAAAATTAGTTCTGCAAGAGTAATTTAATTCTTACATTTCTCCATTTCCAGGTGTTGACTCCACCAATGACCACAGATTTTAGCCTTTGTGGCAGTGGGCGCTCCATAGCTGAGGAAAGCTATTAAATCTCTCTAAGGTAGATACTTAAAGTTTATAAAATTCCAGAATGAAAACTATCTTGCTCCCACAAGAATTGCAGCAATGAGGACTCTTGCCTCAGGATAGAAAGATGACAAATCTGAAATTATTTTCAGATGTACTGAAATAGAAATGCCAACGTCACTGGAACAAATAAAACCAGTTATGCACCGAAAGCCGAGAATCTGACATTTTACATCTTCAAAACATTTTGAATATTTGCACTGTAACAATGGGTGAGAACAGGAAGCTCCAGTTACTGCTGTCTGTTAGCACAACAGTCTGCAACACTAAAATATGGCCTAACAGGAACATCTGTTCCTTCCCTAATTTCTATGCAGAACACTGAGCAGTCAGCGACAGATCAAGCTACTCTTTTAAACACAGCATCACATTGATAAAAAGAACAGTAAAGATTTCATGTTGCATTTCATTTATTTAAAGAAATTACTTATTACTTTGGAAATTTACTTAACCTCTTGGTATCATTAGTAGGGTACATGTTCTCACAGGCTGCCAAGTCTAAAACTACCATCCATAAATGTAAAGCAAAATTACTTTTAATACAAATTTTGCTGAACATCCATTTTGAATGATAGAAAGAAATATAATCCATCTTTTCTAGACTGTTTTAAAATTCAGATTTGGGATCCTTTTCTCCTCTTCTCAAGAACCACAAGGGTTTCCACTTATGGGAATCCATACAATCAGCTTCAACCTGTGATAACCAGTTAGAAGATGCATCTATGCAATCTAACTAGACTTGTAATTCTGTGTGAATCCTTCATTTTCCACACACTCCATGTCAAGCTGCACTCTTATTGTTGAACATGTTTTGCATAATCTTCAAGCAGACCTTGCAGCAGAATCCAAGTTACTGAGTATGGTTTCCAGTAAAAAGAAGTGATTTTTCTGACAGCGTCATCAGCACTGTTGTCAGCTAAGCCAGCAATTGCATCACAGACAGCCCTACAGGTACTGTACCTGCTGATTGCAATCACATTTATTCCCACAGTTCACTTTGGACAATCTATCCAGAAGACGAGATAGTGGGCCAAAAATAGATGCTTCCAGGGATTTTGTACAGAGCCAGAGTCTGGATAAGCAGAGCAGCAGCTGTGCCCCCAAGATGTACCACATAATGAAGGAAATCTCTTCTGAAGAGGCAGGAACTTGCTTAGCAGCAGCTGAATTAAAAGCTAGTCTGACAAAAGCAAAATTAGATGACCCAGGGGTTCCCATTCAAACAAAACTACTGTTCTGATTGCATACAGTAATTGAGGTCCTGAGGGGACTGGTCCTCTTTTGCAGAGGGTAGTAGGAACACTTAGCACAGTTCTCTGAATTGTTAGGGGAAAGACAGATAACATCATTACCTGGATATGCATTTTACCCTATTGATTTAACATTTAAGCAACATCTGCAGCAGAAAACAAATACAATCGGATAGTCTAAATCCAGATCTCGATTAGGAAAGTATTTTCAGCTCAAACATAAAAAGCATTTATACTACACACTTTCTGCCTCCCTCATCTGCCTCCCTCACCCCACACTTTCCCCTCTGATTTTTTTTTTTGGTGGAATCACAGCTCTCTCACTGTGTGAAGATTTGTCAGGAAAGTAAATACATCTGAATACTGAATATTCTAAGACAATGCTTCCATTCTAACTAATGACAGGTGAAGATAAGAAAGCGTAAGGTATAAATATTGATGTTGACCAAATACATCCCCCTGACAAAGGGAGTTACAATGTCCTACCAGGGATAAGACACCCTTTAGATCAGCTGTTAGACAATCAGGAAGAAGATCCTAATTGTTGAACTCTTCAGATCAGTTGCTAGACAATCAGGAATTACAATGTCCTACCAGGGATAAGACACCATTTAGGTCAGTTGTTAGACAATCAGGAAGAAGATTTATTGAAAAAAAATATAACCCAAAAGGACAGAAAGAACAGGGAGACACCAGTAAATGGGTTCTCATAAAAAGAGTGCCTCAAGTCAATTTTACAAGCAACTTTATGAGGATCTAGGGAGAGGAGACCCATGAACATTCTCTAGTTTGTTGTGGCATATTCTCTTGATTTGAAAGCAACAAGAAAATATGATGAAAACAACTGAGCTCAACTTCTACAAATGGAAGATTTAATTTTTTTAAATGTAGACTATTCCTTGCAAATTTGTAACAGATCATGGTAATGTAAGTTTACAAACACTGTGATACAGGCAGTTTTCAACCACTGTAGGTTCTCCTTTCCCATCACAGTATCATTCATGGTAGCACTCTACATTCTGGAACTCCAAAAATTATGTTGCAGCTCAAGATAAATGTACTGCCAATAAGAAAATTCTAAAACAATCTCTCAGTGGATAGCATAACAGGACTTCTGAGATGATTCTTAAAGTTATCACAAACCCAACACAAGTCATTTGTTCAAGGTAGGCATGTCTTTCAGAATTTTAAATGCCTGCCACATGGAAAACAAAGTACACTACATGTGTTGGTTTCATGTTCCCTCCCTCAATGCATTACACAAATTTATGATGCCATACAAAACCCCATGAACATAAGTATCAATAAGAAATAATAATTTCAAGATTCTCAGGAGTAAAAAAAAAAGACAAAAAGAAGAAAAAAAAAGGAAAATAACATTTCAGGTTTGAAAAACTCCAGTGACTGTCTTGACTTACCATGACCTTCCTTAAGGTATAGCGTTTGGACCTGATATCATCCATCAGCATCTCATAGGGCGTGAGCTGATATTCTATGGGCAGTGGGTTGTACTGACGCTCTTGAACCTTCTTAAGTTTAACACCATTCCGTAAATCTCTCATCACCTGCACCCAAAAACGGGCCTGAAAACAAAAGAGACAGAAATTTTACTTCGCACCTTCCCCTTGAATACCACCTCACATTAAACCAAAATTTCATTCCAGGACACCACCAAATATTTCCAGCTGTACTATTTTATTTTTAACACATCAACCAAATCCCATTTTATTTTATAGAAGCTTATTTTTAACACTCGTGAATGTAACAAAACTTTGTTGCAACTCAGCAGGACTGCTGGGTCTCACCTCAAATATGGAAGGAGGATCTGAAATTCTCATACCTTACATCTAAATTCCCACTTCAAGTATACTGCAAGCACATAATCAAAGTTTTTAGACTTCTAGCTAATACTGTGTGAATTAAAACAGTGATTGAATCTGAAACTTTGTTACCCAGGACTCTGCTGTAAAATTTCCTCAAAAGTTGTTCTTCAAATAGAAATTTTGGAATGGACTCCCAAGTCCTAAAATCTTGCAATAGAAAAACTCAAATTTTTTTGCTCTGCCTGTAAGAGCACTGCACACTTACACCTCCCTCTCATTTTCTGTGAAGCAGAATGGCTGGAGAACAGGTGGTGGATTGAAGATTGGAAATTAAAATCAGGTACTTTTTAAGAACCTTGTAATATTCCTCTATGAACTGGCAAGAACAGTACCTAGAAAATAAATTAAGTTACTTCCTGCTTAAGAGTTTCTCTGCAGCTTTTCTCTTTGATCACTGATCACTGTATCATACTGAGAAATTCAGCTGGTGGCTCTGTCTACTGCCTGACTGCCCCTCTGAAGGACAGCCAGCGTGGTACCTGCCACCAAAATGTCCAGTCTTTAAACTGCAAAAGCTTCTCCATGAAAACAGCCTAAGGAAAAATATATTGCTTGGATACTTGTACTGTTTCATCTGTCTGCAAAGCACAGTTAGGATTTCATTTAGTTCTAATTTGTACTGGGTTAATACATACACTAATAAAACCCAGAGGCTGATTTGAATACAGTATCATAGAATGGTTTGGGTAGAAAATAACTTAAAGCTCATCTAGTTCCACCCCCTCTGCACTGGGCAGGGACACCTTTCACTAGGTTGCTGAAACCTGCTCCTGTGCCTCACCACTCCCATTGTAAAGAATTTCTCCTAATACCTAATTTAAACCTCTTTCAGTTTAAAGCCATGCCATCTTGTCCTGTCACTAAATGTCCTTACAAAAAGTCCCTCTCCAGCTCCCTTGGAGGCTTCCTTTAGGTACTGGAAGGCTGCTCTAAGGTCTTCCTGGAGCCTTTTCTTCTCTGGGCTGAACAATCCCAGCTCTATCAGCCTGTTTCCATAGGAGAGGTGCTTCAGCCCTCTGAGCATCTTTTTGGCCTCCTCCGGACTCAGTTCTTATGTTGGGAGCTACAGAGATTTTATTAGGTGGGGTGTCATGAGGGCAGAAGTAATAATGCCTTAGTTAAGCTTTATAAAGAAAAATAAACTGCCAGTAGTGATGCTGAATCACTATTCCATTGCTGTCTTACCCAGTCAGCATTTTTCAGTTCATCAAGATCCGTGCTGGATTCGTCACTTGCCTCTTTGTCCATTTCCTGAATCTTCTTCAGGTTCTGCCAATAAAAAGGAAATAAGTGAATAAATGAAGAGTGGCATTAACTCTCAAGTAAAATTGAAGTTTAATTTTTAATCTCTTCTATCATGTTGTTTGAGTATTCTACTTAATGTTTTATGACTTGAACAGCAATACTGTAAAAGTAACTTGAAACTCTATTTGAATATATTTCTCTTCCTTGGAAAGATAACCTTAAATGCTAGGAACAAATGTTAAATTTTGAGTATGAAAGTACTTCAGATAATAACATGCTGGAGGGAAAAACTACATATTAAAATGTCTATATCCCTGAATTTTTATATGTACAGAAAAAAACCATCTATCAGGTCTGTTAAGCTACAACACAGAAAATATTACCAGCTTGATAAAGATCCATTCATAACAGAATTAATGCTTGTTGAATTCAAGGCAGCTCATTTTTGTAGAAGGAGAAATAAACTATGAGAAATAAACTATGAGAAACATTGAATATTGCATATATATATATATATATTATAATTAATTAGTCTGCATAACATGGGTATAGATTCTGAAATATCCATAATAAAATCATGTGAGGAAGAGAAACTGATCTTTCAAAGATGAAAATTGCTACTTATTAACAAGATCAGATCATGCAAATGCGGAAAAGATGGAGTGCAAAGGGGCAAAAAAAAGTTATTTCATACCAACAAGAATATGAAAAACAATTAAGTTACAACAGACCAAAGAACAGGCAAGCTTGCACACAGCAGGCTGTAGCTTTACACAAATTTTCTTATACACATCAACACCTGTTTATTCAAAAGGCTTTTTCTTTTTTTATTTATTTCTGTATTGATATGTTTTGGAATCAGCAGTACAAGTAATTTCTCAGTAATCCATTTCACTTTTATGGAGTTTTCCAGGAAGTCTTTAACAATGTTTAGTTTGATCGATTTTCTAAGTACTCACGAATATATCTGAAATGGATATTTAAGTCCTCTACTAAAAACTTTTTTTATTTTTATGAGACAAAAGCAACAGGTCAGAGATCTGACAGATGTATCTGCCAGAAGTATTTCTATCTTTTAAGCACTTATGCTTTTCTTTTAATGGAACTGAACAATCAGTCTCAATTCAGCTTCTGAGCTTTCCAGAAAAAATAAAAATAAGCATACTCTTAAAAACTCTTTTTTTTCCTGGAGGTAGTTCCTAAACTGCCAACATTCCAGTGTAAGAAAGGGAAGCACTGGAAGAGTGCTGAACTTGCACATTCAAAAGTGTAAGCATCTACCAAACCTGGCTGCAGAGACAGGACATGTGAGTCAGCTACCACAGAGGTTTTGGAAAGAGAACAGATGGGTTCTTTATTTCTTATTTATGTAAGTAACACAATTGCTTTAGTATCAAAGAAGAAATACTGCCATTGCCCTATCAAAATAAAATACATAATTTACAAGGAGACTCCAAATAAGCATAAATCACCCACAGTTAACAAAAGCAGATACATCATGGGACAATGTGGGAACATTTTGGCATGACCTGCAGCATCACAACAGGATACCCAACCGGGAAAGAATGTCTTTATGGAAACTTCTGTTGGCCCTGGCACTGTGGTCAGTCTGACACTTACAGGCAATTGCTCTTTCCAAGGGAAAAACAGAAACATGGAAAGAACGGGTAACATAAAGGCCTTGCTTATGTGTACTCTGCTTTTCTGTATCATACAGTTGGAGTAATCATTTCAAATGCAGTCAAATGAACTGTAAATTACTTTCTTGCAAACTGTTAACATCTACTGGGAAACTGCAAAATATAACATCTGATTTTTTTCCTTTATCTCTTTGTAATCAAAAATATAACTTCAGTAAATGGGCTCACAACTGTCAGATCTGCTCCTCCTTCCCATACTGGAAGGTACACTTTAATTTTTTTTTTAAATTAGTGTGTTCCAGCTGCTTACACTATACTTGAGCTATTCAACAAGACTGGTGACAATCACCCATCTCAGCAACTGTGTTCCCTACTATACAGTTTACGGGGTGGTTTATGCCCAAAGGCTGATGCTTTAGACTGACATAAATATTTCATGAAGCTAGAAGAGATTACAACCTGGTTTTCTTAACAGCAGAAAATAAGAAGGGGGGGAAAAACCCACCCTGAGCAGCTGAAAGATATTCCAAATAAGGCAACCATCTAATTAGTTTCTCTGGAACATAGCTAGAGGGGCAGCTCCTACCCAAGAAAGCACAGGTGTAAGTGATGCTGGCTACCATGCACCAGAGAGCTGCAGGAGCAAAACCTGCCAGCCAAGAGATGAAGTGTCTCAAAGTGCAGTTTTATGATACAAATGAGCTGGTACAAGCACAGCCGACTGCCAAAGCTGGGCTTCTTTCACTCCCCATCCCTGTGCTGAGTGCTTGGCTGCAGCCCTGGAACCAGAGACACCCACTTTGTAGGGATAGCTCATTCCCTTCCCTGGCACCTGGCTCTGGCACTTAAATGCAGCTCACCATGCAATCAGTAGTGAAGAGTAGGAGATAAAGGAATTTCCATCATTATAGAACTAGCAAAGCTTTGGAAGAAACCAGCAAGTGCTCTGTGCTTGCAGGAAGTGTTTAGGAAGGCTTCTTTAGCTCTTCTACACCTGTCAGGTGCTGCTTGGGAAGGAATAAATTCACAGTGACAAATGATTATATTTAAACTTGTAGACTAAATGGAACATTAGGGTTTCCTTCCAGCATCCTCAGTCAGCATCAGTGGGTTTCTGCCTCTGTTTCAACCGTAAATAATAGAAACCAATATATTTAAATTATAATAGACCCTTTGTCAGAATTCAGCTGTGTTCCAAAACCTGCAAGTAACCTCAGCTGCTGCTGCTGTAGCCACTTGCACTTACCCTTGGGACAACGGCTTAAGAAAAGCTATTACAGTACAATAAATACACGGCCTAAATGGATTTCCATTCCAGAAAGCAGAAATGTCTTAAAAGGGTTTTTCTAAATGATCCCAGAACCTCAGACCCAATTCACCTATTACAGCTTGGGCATTCATTCAGGCAATAAGGGTTGGATGTGTAGGAAATTACTGTTTCAAGAGTTTTCGACTTTTTTAAAAACCTTTACAGCATCTGGCCATTTTTTTAGAAGACTGCACTTTGTGGCAAAAGCTAGTAATAAAAATATCAAATGTCTTCAAACCTCTTGCTGTACTATTAAAAGCAGGCTGTTGATTTGCTGCTGCTGTGTGGCCCACATTTGAGATGTGCTCTTCCGTGCTCAGTGACAGATGGGAATTTATGTAAGACTCTTGTCAGCACAGTGTCAAAGACTCCCTTCCATAAAATGCTTTCTAAAAACATGATGCTTTAATGAGATGTGGTATTCTAGGGAATCCAGACCTGGACTTCAACTTTCACCAACTGCAGAGCACAGTCTACTGCAGTTCCCAGTTCATATTCTAAATTAGGAGTCACTTTTTCACTGATTAAATTGATTTTTACACTGCTATCTGTGAAACTAGTAAAACATTCTTGCACATCTATGTTCAATTTAAAAATACACAACATTCACATATAGGAAAAACTCCTTTTATATACCTTCAGCTATTCAACATGGGTTTAAATTCCAAGGGCTTAGGCAGTAGCATTAGTCTAGGTCTTTGAAAAGATCCAAACCCCATTTAATTCAGACTGGGAATGGGATCAGTTAAATCAGTCCCTAAAAACCTTGAGCTGATAGCAAAGTTCTTCATGTACAGAGGTATGGGCTGATGCACTTAGCTCAGCTCTGGAGGGGGCAATAGCCACCATGCTGCTCAACATAACTATGTAAGGAGAGGCAAAAAACCCAAACCAAGGGCTTGTAACACTGACTGTATGACAGTGGCTGCATCACTCAAGAAAACCAAACCCAAGACAAATCAGCAGTATTTTCCTTTATTAAAGGTCCTAAATTGAAGGATCAAACTGATCAGAATGGAGCCACAAGCCTGATGAAAACACAGCTGAAAAAGTGGAGTTACTGAAGACTTGGAAGTGTAGGCAAAAGTGAAGTTATGAGCGGAAAAGTTTGTGAATTAATATATTTCTACAACTGTGCTCTGAAAATCCAAGCAGCAGAGTATTTGACAACTTACACAGTCACAAGACTTTTGAGCACAACTTGGCTAATGGCTCTATTTCCAAAATAAGTTAGCCATTAACATTGTTCAGGTACCTATTAACTACCTCCATTATCATATTTTAATAATACAGCAGTATAGCCACCTGACCTTTTTCATTAGCTCTTTTGCAACTGAATCTTTGTATGGTGTGAAATTAGGAATAAAAGGAAGGAACAATTTCATTTCATGCATGTCCTTAATTAGAATTTGTATGTTTGCATTTCATACAGATTGGATTGAAATATATCCAGGCAGACTGAAGGAATTATGTTTTTACATTAGAAAGGACAGAAATGCAAGGTAATGTGTTTTAAAAGAACAGTACAAAGATGACAGATTGGGAGCTTTCTCTATATTCTACCAAAAGCCTAATTACAAGGCACGCTGTGGATAATGAAATTATAGATGAGTTTTTGATAAGCATGGATTTTCACTGCAATTAGAGACAGAGGCAATTATAAAAATATATAAAGTCTTAATTAGTTTTGGAAGGAATACTAATTTTGATGCTCTAGGGTGTACATCAATCTCTAAAACTTTTGGAGGTATAAGTCAAATCTACTGCAACAGATCTGCCTACTGGACACTCATCTCCTGTGCTGGCTAGCACCACATGGTGTTTTCTAGCACCACACCACCTGTGCCAGGTGAGGAGTTTATCACCCACAGGTCCACATCCCACATGCCATTATCACCTTTATTGGTACCACCCACAGAGTCACAAAGTGCTTGAGAGTGCAAGAGATCTCTGGATGTCAGCTGGTCCAAGCCCCCTGCTAAAGCAGGGCCACCCCTGCCAATTGTCCAGCATCATGTCCAGGCAGCTTTTGAATATCTCCAAGGACAGAGAATCCACAGCCTCCCCACAAAATCTTTGTTACCCTCAGAGTAAAAACAATATTTCTGGCTGTTCAGAGAACCTGCTGTGTTTAAGTTTGTGTCCACTGCCTCCAGTCCTGACACTGAGCACCACTGAAAAGAGCCTGATGCTGTTGTCTTCACACTCTCCCCTCAGGTATTGAGAGGCACTGATGAGATCCCCCTGAGCCTTCTCATTTCCAGAATGAACAGCCCTGGGTCTCTCTGCCTTTTCTCACAGGAGAGCTGTTTCAGTTCTTCATCATCTTCTGGCTCTTCTCTGGACTTTCTCCATGGTGTCAGTGTCTTGCCTGTACTGGGGAGCCCAGAACTGGACTCAACACTCCAGCTGTGGCCTCACCAGTGCTGAGCAGAGGGGGAGGATCACCTCCCTCAATCTGCTGGCAACATTCCTCCTGATGCAGCCTGGGACACCACTGGCCTTCTTTGCAGCAAGGGCACTTTGCTGGTTCGCTCAGCCATGAAGGGCACGTGGAACATTAACTCCAGGAGAAGGCAATAACAGGGAGCCAGAGGAGGACTAGGGCAGATATCCCCTCAAAAAAGCATGTTCACAATATGGATACAGGCCTGGTGAATCCCCTGTCTGATCCAGAGCACCAATTTTGCATTCCTTTGCTTGCATAGTCTCTCCCTGTCTCTCTCAGTCGCACTCGATGCCATTTCTGAGCAATGTGTGTGACCTTTTCAGATACTTCACTGCAGGAACATTTGCTTTATCTCATGGACATCATTTCTTTGTGCCTACAGTTCTGTCTATGGCCAGGTGCCACCAAATGTTATGCCAATGAATTTTGGACGATCCTGAAAAAGATGAATCTTTTCTTTTACATGGGTCAAGTTTTAGCAGATAGTCAAACTACCTTGCCCCCTGCCATACAGGTGTGCATTTCCTTAACCTTGTAGGCCACTACCCCCCCTCCCAAAAATAAAAAAAAGATAATCCCTTTCTGTGGGATTTTCTTGCTGCAATTTTGAAAGCACACTTTTGGACATGAAAAACAAACTGTACTCTATGTTTGTTATGAGCTGTAAAAGCTTAAACAGCAGGTCACAAGAATTAGGAGGTCTTGGCCCATCAGAAGACCACTCCTGGATACCAGCAGATGGTACCCAGGGTGAATCTGTAGCAAGTGCACCTTTACAGACCCTGAGCAGCATGCAGGTGCTGCCAGCAAGCTGGAAAACACCCCAGTAAACTTGCTAAAAAAAACCCTTCACCTTGCAAAAAGAAAACTTTTAGTTGCTTACTTCTTTAAACTATTGCAACAGTGCTATCACATCTTTCTCAACTCTGCTCATCTTGTGCATCCACTACATGAATTTTTTCAAGAATAGAAGTACCATCTCACTGTCTGCAAGCCAACTTTGCTGCTGACCTTTCATACAGAGGGAATCAGACTGGAAGTAATCATATGGCATCAGTTATGTGACAAAGTGCCTTAAACATTCTATCTGACATCCATTGAGATGATCTGAACAGCTCACTCATCGCTTCATCATCTCTGATTAATACACTCACCCAAATTCATGCAGTCCAACCCTTTGTGAAACTACGCTCTATTTGTTATATGACAGATGATGACTGGGGAACACGTGACTCCTCAGTATATTTATCAGTATTAAAACACATTACAACCTATAAACCTACCCCTCCTACCTATCACTCTACCCCTTTTGAAATCCTGGACTTTCCAAGTTCTGCTAAGTTTTGATAGGGCCAAATTGAAAACAGCTTCACAGCAACATTTTTTCCCTGGCTCTTTCAGAGTTTATTTCCCATCTGAACCTGTTCTAGGCTGCAGCATAATACAGGTCACATTTACTTCACCTCCAATCAAATGAATTTTTACTGATAAAAATTCTTCCTCTTCCACTACAGCAAAGCTGCCTATTTAAGCATTTACTGACCAAAAAATATGAACCTCATGTACCTGGGAAACAGATACCCAGATGCCACTCAGTGGCCCTAGAAGGAATCCAAGTAATTTCAAAGTAATTTTTATCCATAGGAAAGTTACTTTGAGTAATTCCACAGGAATCTTTCCCTTTTTTGGTGTTTTTAATTTCATTTTGACCTCACATCCACAACTGCATCTGGGTCTGAGGGAATCTAAAGGATTATCTCCAAATTAGGCTGTTATTTTTTGAAACAAATTAAAAATTTAAAATTCCTGGCATCTTTAGTGTCAAACCCACAACATTACACAGTATAATTTTTTTTTTAGTTGGAACTGATATATGTAACTTGGTTATTTTCCCCCAGTTCTCTGCCAATGCAATCACCACAAATCCATGACAACAAAATTTCCTTATTGAAGTATTCAGTGTTTATCTCCTTTACACCTATTACTTACGTGGCAACACCAAAAGGAAAAGAAAAAAGGAATTCACGAGAAGAGTATTTAACTGTACTCCTTATGACTTAAGATTCTGCTGTGTATTTGCAAGACAGAAGAGCATATAAACAACAGCACAGCTTTTACTGGCACAAACCTAACGTGATCATATGATCCCTGCTTGCCTCAAGTATAAACTATAAAGGTCATTTTAAAAGGGTGCAACAAGATTTACAGCATTCCACCTCATATTTGCTTCATGCCTGTTTTTTATTTTGTACACTGTATTATTTTCAAAATTAAATACCTTCCAAATCTATAGTTAGACAAAAGCTATGACCAAGAACCAAGCACATCATAAACCCAAAGTATTCAGATTCCAAAAGCTGCTTCCAAGATGATGTTCTTGGTAATTGCTTACATGCCTACTGAGGGACTGATCCAGAGTAAACTGAAATCAAAAGGTCAAAATTCTGGCCCTGGTTAGGTGCAGCAATAAAGTCTTACTGATTCAGTAGGGCCAAAATTCCATCCACAAGGATTACTTCCTTTGACCTAAATGTGCTTTGAATCAATGCCTAATAGTCTGTGAGAGGCAAATGGCTTCTTTCATTTGGGATTAACTCACAGTATTCTCTATGGTGTGTTCAGATGCTGTTGGGTTTTTATGCCAAATGATAAGGTGATTAAATAATTTGCAAATTCAAAATGCCTTTCCACTTTTTAAAATAATTTTTAAAATATTATTGTTAAGATATGATTTTAAATGGTTATAGCCCACAATATTTTATTTTGACATTGACAACAAAGCTGCCCTATTACTGCTCTCTGTGGCCAGGGTGTTTGAGAACTATTGGAAACATAATTCCTCTCTGATGAGAAAGAAGAACTCTGAAGAGTGCTATTTTGGGCCTCACCATGGACATTGTAACAGCTCTTGAGTGAGGTATTTCCAGCACAGGTCCCTCAGTTAATATATCCAGTAGTTAAAAGCCAAGATGTGAAATTAATGATGTCAAGGTTTGGGAGACAGCCTTAGCATGGAGATCTTATATCCTGGCTGCTTCCTGTATCAGGGACATTGGATGCAGATGTCCCATAATACAGGCACTTCAGAAAACAAGTGGCTCTTTAGCCATGCTGACATTGCCAAAATGATCCTTGTATGACACTGCTTTAGTTTAAAAATTGCTTTCAGTTTGAATAGGACTGGAGAAGAAGTGGAGATGAAATGTGACCCTATGCAGCAGAAAAACATCTCAGAAGGATTCTCCCTCCTGGATGATGCATCTCAGGAAGGAAGGAAAGAGCAGCAGCCCCTTATGTCTCTGAGCAGTTTGCATCTTCCACCATCAACGTGATGAAAGCTCTCTTGTACTCATCTGAGGCTCATCTGACCCATTAATGCTCATTAACCTGATAAGGAGTAACTCCTTTACTTTTTGTTTTGCTTGATATTTAATGCATTTATTCCCTAGAACCAGAAGAAGGAAAACAGTGGGAGTACGTGTGAGTGGGCGGAACAGCTCTGCCTTTTTCAGCAGCAAAATTTTTAGGTCAGCCTGTAAAATCTTATCCTGCTTTTCAAAGGTACTGTAGATCTTGACTTACAAAAGAAAAAAAAATCCTTCAGGGATTTATTAAGGAAAAAAAAATTATAAAAGCGTTGCTACTTGACAAGTTTGCTTTGGTGAAGAAACCAGCTTTGAGAAATGAGTTTCCTTTCCTGCCCTTCCTCTCACCCACCAGTTTTCCAATGTTACCAGCACCCAGACTGTTTTAATACAATTGTTCATGGGGCCATTCTGCAGGCCAGATCACTGAAACTATCTGCAGTGTCAACCTTCAAATCACTCTTCAGCCAGACCCATTAATTGCAATGGTTCACAGGATGGCCTTTCAGCCAACAATAACAGCCAAACAAGCAGTGAACATAAGCACTGTGACCCGAAAGGGAAAATTTTTCTATTTTTAAAGTTGGCTCTGCTGTGAAACCAATGTGACAGACAAAAAACCAATCATACAGCAAAAGGTAAGAGAAGCTGCTAACTGGTGACAAAATATGAGCAAGAACAATCTCAGATAATTCCCAGCAAAGAGAATTCCCTCATGGGAAGGAGCTGAGGAAGAACAGGCAAAGCTCTGATATTTCATAACATCCCCAAAACACCAGAGAAGAGTTTAGACTCAAATACATTGCATACATGCATGCTGGAATGGGTACATGTATGCAATGTGTTACCCTCCAAGAAAATATCTGCTTTACTCCCAAGCAGACTAATCACAACTAATAACATGAGGGATGTAAATGGTTACATGCCAAAATAATAAAAAAACCCCACAGCTGAAGAAGAGTACACCCTGAAAACTACAGATCATCTCCTCAAGCATCTGACATTCCCTATTGGCTGGGTACAGAAGTGATTTTGTAAGCCAAATTCACATGGTGATGAGCTCAATAGCAGAAAAGCTTCTCAGACTGCTTACCTCTTTTGCACTTTTAATTTTGGCCAGGAAAGTGTAGAGCTCCATTGTTTCAGCAAACAGAGCCCGACACACTGCTTGGTAGTGGTTGGGCGCCTCCGATCGCGTTGGCAGGTGGGCAGCACACAACTAGGGAGAAAAATAAATAACAGGATCAAAACAATGCCCCACTGCTCTCATTAATGCTACAGAACATGAGATAACATGAAAGTGAATGCAACTGAATAGCAAGGGCACCAGCATCCATGAGGCATTTAAGCTTAGTCAGGAACTGGGGTGTATTTTCTAAACATTCTGTTTCTATTTGTTTTATGAGAAGAGTACTATAGGAATGGTAAGGGGACTGGTAGACCATGTTCTAGAAAACCAAGACACTGCCTTTTCATAACAAAAAAAAAAGGGGTGAGGGACAATATAATTCAACATAATTGTCATAATTGTGAAAACAAGCCACCTTGCAGTAGCAAATTTTGGGAAAACATACTTAATTCAAAGCAGCTTTAACAGTAAGTGTTAAGTATTCCTACGAACACAGAAGAGAAATGTATCCCTAGCAGTTTATGAAAGGATGGAAGGTGAAGCAAGGAAAAAAGCACAGTGTAATCAAGCTGAAACTATGATCAGATTTATTTCAAGCAGCACAAAGATTTTAAAAATCAGCAAGAGCTATGGAAGCACAGGCTTATTGCTTTACCTCAGACATTCACGAACATTTTAAATCACAGGAATAGCTAATGCAAAGGAATCCTACAGGTGTTTCCATATATGCTAAACTTGTCAAACTCTGAAAGCCTATTCAAATCACTAAGAATTATTCACAGTTACTGATGAACAGTGAGTCCAGCATTACTTCTAGAGCAAAATGCAGCTCCCATTTCCAACAAGAGAAGCTTCACTGAAACCAGCCTTTACATTTCAAACTGAGAACCTGAATAGTTTGAGTGACATCCAGCTTCATGGACATATCATTTTCATGGAAATATTGGCTGAAAATAGACAGAATAAAATAATATCTGTAATTTGTTTCTTAACACTTTTAAATTTCAAAAATCCAAAAGCTGAAACTTGAGTATGGATGGCCATATACTGGTATATATGCAAAAATAAAGTCTTAACCAAGGCCATAAAACTGGTCTTGTTTATGTGGTTCTATTGTAACTATTTTTTATATATATATAGTTACATTCAGATGTCCAGAACTAAAGCCTGAGACAAAAGCCTCTTTAGCAGAAGAGCCTTTAATTAGCCTAGTGGCATACTTGTCTAAATCTCTCCTGTTATTACAGTGAATGCTGTGGTTATAAGGAGCACGATGCATGTAAATCTTAGGCTGCTTTTCCATATTGCTTTCCATTTGATTTAAATCCATACTGCCACTAAAAGGTGTGGTCCTGTGGCCTCCAGCTGTAGCAATCCACAGATACCCTTATGCTGGCACGGGAGTCCATGCCCTAACTCAGAGGAGTACTCACCCAAACAAAAATTAACAATGTGAAGGAAGTGGAGCAGGAGACAATTACTCTTCATGGCATGGACACACTCACAGAAGTGAAGGCCAAAAGGAGCAAGGAGAACATACTGCCAGGGTGGGAAAAGGGAGGAAGGGCTGAACAGATTTAGACTGCCTCAATCTCATTGACAAGTTGCTCTCTGAGGCCAGAGGCCCCTTGCTATCTTTTGTCTTCCCATTAGAATAACAATACACAGCTCAGTGGTCAGATTTGGTCAACTCCTTTGATAAACCTTTACAAGCTCAATTTGGACTCCTGCAATATCCTCTTCTGATTACCCCTATGTATTTATCTCCTTTCAGTTGTAAAAATGAATATGCATACAGAAAGTTTATATATATGTGTGTGTATATTTTTATTCCTTCCTGTATATTTTCCTTCCACGTAGGAAATGCAAGACAGCCAGGAAATTGCCCTTGATCCCTACACTTCAAATTTTATGCTGTTTTACAGTGGATGGCCAAAATTTTCTTACACTCTTCAAATTTATTTCTGGATAATCACAAGGACATAGCTGACATATGTCTCCCCAACCCCCCGCCCAACTCCCTGATTTTTTTTCCTTTTTTTCCTCCTTTATTTTTCCTTTTTAACAAATTGGATCATCTCCTTGGCAGATAAAGGGAGAAAAACCCAAACAGATGCAAGCCTAATGTGAGCAATAGCGATAGCACATACCAAAAACATAGAATCTACTAAACATTTCCTTTAATGAAAATATTAGAACATTAGACCAGTTCTGAGTATGGTTGTGCTCTTTTTTCTCAATAATGAATCATGTCCTTACTTGCCTTACTATGTTTTCATTTTCTAGTTATTAATTATAGTATAGAAAAAAAAAGGTTTCATTCTAAAATACACTATTTACAAAAAAAAAAATAGAAACAGCAATTTTGAAAAAGGTCATAAAATGTTATGTCTTCATGGCCGAGAATAAAATTTTATTATTATACAGACTGCACACAGGTTTTTAAGAATCCTTTTTTTTTCTTTATTCAGAGGCATGTTAATTAGAAACATTTTGCATCAAATATTGAGGAAGTTAATGAAATGCAGTGGTGACAAGTTCAAGCAGGGAATGGTTGTAATATTGATTCTATTAGTGAACAAAAAGTAAAGAAAAAAAAAAGCCAGCTGCTGAACTGAAGTTACAGAAGCAATCACATAAAACCTGACCATTTGCTTTGCAATCATTAGACTGCAGGTATTAAAAGAGGGCCAGCAGCTCCTACTAACTTTCATGTTCTGTGAAATCATTCTCTGAGTGATCTTATGTGAAGATGCATTACATAATAAAACTTCTTGTGGTAATATTAAGTCAAACAACTCAACATGAGTTTTTTGGATTAGGGAAGGTAAGCCTGAAGAAAAAGGAAAATGTAAATAGGACAGGCTGATTTTTTTTCCCCCCTTCATTGTAATATATTGTACTCGCACATTGGTTCAGAACTCCTGACAAGCTGTAACTTCTGCATGAAATACCACAAAATCTAGGCAGGCAAGGCAAATCAAGCATGAAATGTCACTTCTAGCCTGAGTTCAGGATATTTATCCACTTAAAAAAATTTAAAATCTTTAAGTTTATGGTAGTAGTGTTTGAAAAGCTATGTTACTGTAACACACAACAAAAATCCCTGTCAGTATATTTTAATAACTGAGATATGAAAGGACAGCTATCTAATAAACTCCTCCTCTTACTATGTCATAGTGGTAGTAGTGCAGGAAGGATTAAGATCATATATGCAGACTTTTCCATCTTGAGATTGTATTCTTATTCTGACACTTGCCTTTTCATCCCTCATGATACAACTTAAAACTACCCTAAAGGGAATGAACTTGAACAGTGCCCAGAGATTAATACAAGGCCTGTTTTTTCTGCTTTCAAGAAGTCTCAAAAAGTATGGCTCAAAACAGATTATGTGGTCTTTGCAAACTGGTGAAATAATAAAAAATATTATCAACTACTGAAACATTAACTGGCTTTCTGTAAATATTTCCACTTGAAATCATTGTGAAGAGCTGGGATTTCTGATTTTTTCTTTTTTCTAACTGAGCCTATCCAAAACCCCAGCTTGACCCAAAGCATTCAATCTTTGCTTAGATCCCTAAGAAGATTAGAGGCTGTTTCCATCCACATTCAGGGTTCACAGGAAAAAAAGGCACTATGTAAATATCATAGCCTTGCCAGCTCTTCCAACTTCATCCTCAGTTGACTAGGAAACAGGGTGCACCAAGCCAAAGCAGTGCTAACAGGAATCACAATTTAACCATTGAAGAGATCAAACAGCATTTCTTGCATTTGTTTGAATATATTCCAGCAATATATTCCTCCATAAAGTTACAAGAAACACTAATGACTCTCCCACTAAAATGCAGTGAAGTTTTGTAAAACTGTTTTGGCTAGATATATACTGGAAGCTTCATCAAGACACCTGGGCTGCTGGAATTAAGATTTCAGAAGACAAAAAGTGTTTCCACTTGTAATTATCTTGGGGAATGCACCACAAAGAAGAAAAAGATTTCTTTATCCCATGGGCCACAAAGACAGGCCATTGATATTATGCAAAACATATTACCAGCCTGCAAATGCCAGGCTTGTTAAGTGTTTTGAAAGCCTTGGAGTATTAACAAAGACTTAAAAGATGTACTTTTTCTTAAGCAACAAGAAGAAATTAGTTTAACCAACAGATCACTGAACATGCAAGTGTACTAAGTATTTGCCTCATCCTTTGCAATATGATACTGCAACAGGTTCACAAAATAAAACTCAGCTTGAGACGCCTTTTCAAGTCAAGGCTATTTTCTGAAAGATTTTATCTCCATGAAGAAAAACTAGAGTTTATGATTAGGCTTTTGTTTTCATATATATCCCTCTTCATATGAATGTGAACTTCAAGAAGCCATATACCTTACCAGAGAAATCTTACCACGACAGCACCTGCATATTTGTAAAATTCAACCAAACATTTTGCTTTGCTTTATTATCCAGAATAATGTTGAGGGATGGGCTGTTGACAGGAATAAGTGTTTTTTCATGTAAGACGTTTCTGCCTGCTAGGACCACCCCTGGGCACAGTACCCACAACTTAGGCACAGTACAAGTTTTGAGGCGGCTTTCACAACACCTGGAGCCAGTTTCACCTGCTTCCCAGCACTTCAGAGCTTCTTTTTCAAACATTCCAGGCAGCTCTGCGCCCCTGGCTCTGTTGCTTGTAACTGCAGTGGGCCAAGGACTGCCTGGTCCCTCTGACAAGGATTCTAGGGGAATACTGGTGAGGAAAGACTGCAGTAAGATAAAAGGGATGGGAGCAGAGTTAGCTATTAATCCACAAAATAAATTAACAGAAAATACAGAAAGTATTCACAGAAAGTTGCTCTTCACCTGCAAAAGTTTGGTGACTTTTTAATTGATATTTTAAAGGATCTTTTGCAAGTGTCATGGAATGTCCACTTGCTCAATATGTGAGCCTCCTAGTTAATTTGGCACACTTCAAGGAAAAGGTAGGTTTTGTGGAAATTGAAGCAAATTGCTAGTACCAAGCACATCTGCCTTGGTATTTAAGTGCTCTCCAGCACTCTGCTAAGGCCTTCCCTCATGCTGGTATTTGTTGTTTTGAT